AATTTGGGATAGGATACGGGGGTATGGATTTGGGATAAGATGTGGACATGGAATGAATAAGGTCTGGGATATGGATAGAGGATGAGATACGGGATGGGAAAAGGGGAGATGGTTATGGGATGGGCTGTAGATATGGGATGGATTTGGGATATGGGCATGGGATGGAGATGAGGGTCTGGATATGTGTTATACATATGCATATGTATAAAACATATATATATATATATATTGCCCCCATCCAATGGGAACGGTGTGGTCTGTGGTGGGGGACACACAGAAGGGGTCCCCCAGCTTTGGAATGTGACGCCATGGGGGGATGCAGGGGCGCCCCCAGCTGTGGGACTGTCCCCAACTCTGGGGTGTGACACTGTCAAGGTGACATAAAAGTGTCCCCAACTTTGGGGTTCAACACTGTGGTGGTGGCCCCAACGCTGGGGTGTGACACCATTTGAGTGACAGAGAGGTGTCCCCAACTACATGGTGTGACACTGTGGGGGTGTCCTCAACTTTGGGGTGTGACACCATTGGGGTGACACAGATTTGTTCGCAGCTTTGGGGTGTGACACTATGGGGATGACATAGGGGAGTCCCCAACTTCAGGGCATCACACTCTGGAGGCATCCCCAACTTTGGGGATGTGACACCGTGATGCGGTGTCCCCACTTCCCCTGGAAAGTCTTCAAGCTGCTCACGGTATCCCCAACTTTGACAGAATGTCTCCAGAATGTCTGCGTGAGGGTGACACCCAATGACAATGACACCCTGTCAGAGCTGTTCCACATTGAATGTCACCCCTGGTCCCCTCTGGTGGTGGCACAGAGTTCACCACTGTGTGCATCCCTGTCCTCGTGACAGATGATGGTGACAGCACCGGAGGGCGCCGGTGTCACTGGGTCCGGCTGTAGGCAGGCCTGGAGGGGTGACAAAGGACAGTGTGAGGCTCAGTGACAGCACGGTGACTGTGTGGGGCCACCTGTGCCTGCCCCCATGTGGTGGTCAGAGCACAGGGAATGCTGTCACCCGAGAGATGGTGACACACAAGTGATGGTGATACAAAAGTGATGGTGACAAAAGTGACAGCCAGTGATGGGGACACTGTGCTACAGCTGTTCCACACTGAGGTCACATGCAGTCACCTTTTTAACAGTGTCACCAGAGTGATGGTAACACC